TTTGTTCTCAACTTCCTGTTTACTTTCATTCTGCTAACTTTGGGTTTCTCTGTTGTTCAACATGTTTTTCTTCCTTCTTGTGTCACTAAGACACCAGACGTCCTCTGAACGATCAATGAATCTGTTCAATCAGAAGCTACAGAAAAGGAAGTGAAACGCTCCAGAAGCTGATCAGAGTTTTGGGAACAGAGCCGGCGACAGAAAGCTGCTGTGGCCTCGGTCGGAACAAACACATGCCTGTCAGTAAACAACAACCGCACTGCTGCAGAACCGGAACCGGCTCCACACAGAAGGCTGTTTACTCTGCAGGCCTTTCTCGTCATCCGCCTGGATATCGATGACAGATTCCACCTCGCTCAGATGCGGTTTCATGCGTGTCTGAAGGTCAAAAATAAATCCAAATGTTTTCCCTCAAACCCGTTTTCCAGAACAACCCGACTCGTTGGTTCACATCAGGACAGGATATCAACACCAGACCGTGGAGAAGTTTATGAAACAGTTACATAAACACATTGAAAGAGGAACAACAGGAACACACTCCTGCCTCCTGATGAAACGCAGGAGGAAATCTGATTTACTGTTAAACCTGCTGACTGGTTGTGTTGACGTGATAACGCTGCATTAACTTCATAACGTGTCATTAAAACACATTTAAACTGACATTTCTGAATTCGCTGATTGAAAACTACATTCATCTTTACTTTTAATCACCTGGGTCACTAGTTTGAATCCCCTCCACTACTTGAAGCAACCCGATTTATTTAAATTTGTCAACTTAAAACCTTGTGTTCATGCTACTAATCATTAGTAATTAGAAATACCTCAGTTCACTGACTTAACGTAGGTTGTTAGTCGAACATGATTCCAGTAGAAAACAGATCGATGCAAACTGTTGATAATGTGCAATATATTAACCAAACACAGATCAATATTACATCTACCTCGCTGCTACATGAATATTTTGGGCTAAACATAACTATTTGTGGCTTTCTACGCTAACGTTTATGTATATTTCTTCTTACTACACTGATTTTGCTCTTGTTTTATTGTACTTATTATTATTCATTGGGCTTTTTCTTAAAAGAAATCAGGACCTGAGCACTAATTTCGTACCACAAACACGTGAATGTGAGCCGGCGTGACAAATAAAGCTCCTCAAATCCTTGAATAATTAACAACAATAAATAAATTGTCCAAATAAACTTTCAGGGTGCAGAATTTTACAAATAGCAGCTTTGAGCTAAATGCTAACATTAGCATGCTAATTAACACAGACTTCTGATGAGTTTCTATTTTCATGGAATCATTTGGCAGTAATTCCTCCGCCTCTTGTCAGATTATCGTCTCAGATCTTACAGCCTTGAATTCAGGTGAAATATACTTGCTAACAGTCGGTGTTTTCCTGTAAACAGAAGAGGTTTGCTGCTGCAGCTCAGTGTTTGTAACGACGACGACGACGAGGGGAAATCCACCCCGAAGCTCTTCTCACTGCCAGCGTCCTCCAGAGAAAGCAGCAGGACGTCCTCTGCGTCGCTGCTTTCATGTGACACGGGTGGTTTTTCTCTTTTAAACCAGAAGAGAAACCACCGACGAGCAGCAGTTCTGAGGAAACGTCCTGCTGCTCGCGCTGGGACTCGTTTACCACAAAGAGCGCAGCAGGGGAAGCACTCAGAGCCTTCAGCTGAAGCACAAATACTTCATT